TAAAAATAACTGTAAATCAAAAATGACAGCCATTTTAATAACAGTCAATCCTAACAATAATATAATTTTTTATTAATTTTTAATTATTATATAGAATTTAAAACAATTTTTATTTATTTTTTCAATCTGTCACTGTTGTTTATGCTTTTAATAAAAATTTAATATAGTTAATACCGCGGAAGTTTAAAAAAAAAAATGAAATGAGTACCTTGACCCCGGACTTTTTGGGGGAGCCAATAAATTCAAGGCTGGGGATTTTTTTTTTTTTTTTTATAATTTAAATAAATATATTTATAAAAAAAAAAAAAAACACTTTCTCTGTTTATCGAGAGTTTAAATGGCAGAGTAAGACAAGTTTCTTTAACAAGTTGTTTAAACGTTAAATCACTTTTGTAAGTTTGACAAGAATCTACTAATTTCCTCTTTTGCTTTTTTTTTTTTTTTATTATAAAAATAATAATAATAATAATTTATTAATGGTATTTTTCTTTTTTTAACTTGTTTTAAATAAATTAATTAAACCTGAATAAAACTGCGATAAGTTTTTTTTTTTTTAATAAAATATACCGGAAGGGTTTTTTTTTTTTATGTTTTGACTAGTGTATCGTGTTATCATACCTCATAATCGACATTTTCTTGCTGTTGAAGCAAATTTGGATCTTGTTCTTGTTGTTGTCCTTTATACAAAGCTCTAGGTACTGGTTTTACTTGTGAAACTAATTGCGGGTTGTATTGAACCGGTTGTCTGTATTGTTGTTGGTAATCTTGTGGATCTTCTCCACTTCCTTGCTGATAAACAGATATGGGAGTTGCTCTTGGTAATGGTCTGCATAAGACAGCCGTTGAAGTAATCAAAATTAAAATATTCTACGAAAATTTCAAAAAAAAAAGAAAATTAATTAATTACATTTTTTAATTTTTATTAAATTTATTTTTTAATAAATAAATTAAACTCAATTGAAAAAAAAAAAAAAAAAATTTAATTGTGAAAGTTTTCAAAAAGTGAATCGTTAATAATTTTTTGAAATTTATTAAACGTTTCCTTAAAAAAAAAAATTTCAAAAATTTAATCTAATAACAATGCCACCACTTCCTTATTTTACGGTTAATTTACAAAAAAAAAAAAGAAAACATTTGCCAATATCTCGAATGTTTTTTTTTTTATTTTTTTTTTATTTTCATTTTATTTTCTAATTTTCACCATGTAATGACTTTTGAACTGATCTAAATAATGGAAGTTATGGCATGTGAACTACTTATTTTTTAATTTTTTTTGAAAGGAGGAAGCATTTTTAAACAGTCATACCCTCCTGCAAGTGTTAATTTTATATTTAATTAATTTTTTATTTTTAAAAATATTAAAGGTAAAAAAAAAAAATCATTTAAACGTCGTACAAGTAATAAAAACAAGTAAACATATAATTTCCATCATTTAATAATTGTTACGTTCCTTAAAAATAATAATAATGATAATTACGTTTCGTGAATCAAACAAAACAACCTTTTTTTATATTATATAATAATTTTTTTCTTACTTTTTATTTTTTTAAAAAATTAATTAAGTAATTTTTTATTTATTTACAACCTCAAATTATTTATAATAAACTTTTATTATAAATGTGGTTAATCATTAAGAGTTTTATTATTAATTATTAATTATTTTAATTTTTTTAAATAAGTAATTATTTATTACTTAATAAAAATATTATCAAAATTTGAGCGTCAATTTTTTAAAAATTAAATTTAATACCATCGCGAAATTATAAATAAAAAATTGACATTTTTAATAAATTATTTCGAATTAACTCATCTTAATAAAATTGAAACAAAATTTAATTAATAAAAATAAAATATTTTAAGTAATTTAATATATATTTAAAAAATCAAAATTAGATACGAATACATAATATTTGAAAAAAAAATTATTATATTAAAATAAATATTATTATTTATGGTAAAAAAATGAAATTCGTAAATCCAAAAAAAAGAAAACCTACCTTAATCCACATGGTATCTATACAACTTTCACTTTCACGATAAGCAACAATAAAATCTAACCAAGAACTGAGAAATAATCTCCCAAGGCCCCTCACTTATATAACTTTCAGTACAAGATACCAGTTAGTTAATGTATAGCACTTCGGGGGTACCTTCTTAACTCATATATATATATTTATATCCGTTTGTTACAGATATTGCAGCGCCTGCGTGATAAAATTTTTTTATACTACCTCATTCTGCTATGAAAAAACAAAAAGGTAAATAATATTAATAATAATAATAATCAAATTTATTTTTTACCCCCGACTTTAATAGATTATTGAAGGGGGGAAAAAAATGGACAAATGTTTTCATGTTTTTAACTTGATGAGTAAAACTTTGTCATAAACTGTCATGGCTTAATCTTTAAAAAAAAAAGTTTTGGCGTAATTTTAGAGGGGGGGGGGTTTATAAATAGTTTTAATTATTATCGTGAAAAGAACATATATTATGAA